CTCTCTCTCTCTCTCTCTCTCTCTCCCCCCCCCTTGTAATGGTTGAGACTGAAGGCCAGTGAGAGAGAGAGAGAGAGAGAGAGAGAGAGAGAGAGAGAGAGAGAGAGAGAGAGAGAGAGAGAGAGAGAGAACGGATCCCCTTAACACGGCTCAGACGCATCTGCGCTACATGTCTGCAAGGACCCTTCAGACAGCTCAGAAGGCCAGTGTAATGGTTGAGACTGAATTTCTCAACAACTCGACCCCATTGGCTCTCATCAAGGTCCCAGAGTTGGAATATAATTCTGAGTTGGAGGATGCACCCTCCACATCACAAGGGCCCAATCATAGGCCCGTTATAACTAGGAAGGCACATATTAGTGGCAAAGGCAGACTCTTTCAGCAACTCAACCCCCTTGATTCTTAGTCAGGAATCCAGTATCACGGTAGCATCTGCAGTCTTGTTCATGCCATCAGAGTTATCTGCCATGGAACAGGCAAACAGAAAGGTGAAGGAGATAGTATCCGAGGTAACTGGGGAAAAGAAAATTATTCTGATTGCAGATACCCAAAACAACGTTAACGAGGGTCCTCATCTCTCATTGTCTGGGACAGTGAGGATGAGTTCCAACCACATTCCCCCCACACGAAATCACATACACATCTGCAGACCAGAGTGTCTGCAACCACCTCCTCTCTGGAAATAGACCTGACAGAAGACACCAACTTCACGCAACGGGAGTGTCAGTCCTCGCAGATCCGCCTGTCAATCTTGATAGAAAACACCAGCAAAAGGTAGAAACTCAAATCTAAATTAAACGTGGATATAAGCAATTTGTCACTCTCAAAAGTAGGAATAGTTATACTGCCTGTCAGGCTGAAGGAAGGGGTGTGGCAGGTAGCTCTGCCCATGGTTGGGTCACGTTGCAAGGCACAATGCCATCTTTCTTACCTCTGTCTAATCTCACAGGCGGAAAAATGGGGGAAACAATGATTAAAATTGACATAGTAAAATATATCAAAGAATACTTCCCACCCAGAGGCTGGGCCACCCTCACTCTCACATCAGAATCCAATAGGATTGTTGAGAGGGATGTATATCTGCGCTATAAAGTTGGGGACACCATTGATCTGAAATGGATGGGCTTTGATACTCTTTAGGAAATTCAAGTTCTAAAAATTAAAGCCAGCTAGTACTGGTCAGATTCGGATGTGATCCTCCTTTTGTTGCGCCTCCTCAAATAGGCAATACTAGTAAAAGGAGGTGTTTTGGACACCGGGGCATGAAAGAACCTGTAAAAGTCCACTAACTACTCCTCCCTAGTCGACGAGAAGTTAACTACTATATTGATAATTTTGTTAATGATGGGGGATGTAAACATAGTGGACCTTTTATACAACAAAGACAAGAATTGGAAGCTTTTAAAAAGAAACACAGATTTGGATCTCAGGTCATTAAATGTTAACGGACTAACTTCTGCCAAGAACTCCAAGAGGCAGGCAATATATGAACAGATCAAGGGAGTGGATGGCAAAAGTTGGCCTGACATTATTTGTATACAAGAGACACACCTTCAAAACACAGATCCACACAACTACGCTCACAAAGAAATCTGGCCACACACATCATATAGAGCATACGAACCGGTGAAGCGTTGGTGTGGCAATATGGATCCCGCCTGACACTAAAATTGAAGTTATAAACTGGGGGTTGACCAGCAGGAAGGTCGATGGGTATACATATTGGTAATGCTGGAACTTGAGATAGTGAGCATCCTGAATATTTATGGGTCAAATGAACTAGGAGAGTGAGAAATCTCCTTTGCCAGTATTTTTCCGCATCTACCAGTGGGCATTCTCGTGATTATTGTTGGGGATTTCAATGCAGCCCCAGACTGTAACCTAGATAGATGAAATATCATTTCCCCCTCCTTGGCATTTGTAGAAACATGAACTCATCATCTCTAACCTCTGTCATACAGCTAACCTGTTTGACTCTTTTAGACGACTAAACCCGAATTCCAAAATGTTTAGCTGCTTCCGAAGAAACCAATTGAGAAAATGAAATCTAGAATAAACCTAATCCTAATTTATGAGGAACTACAAGGGTCAGTGCAATTCGCCAGCATACCCCCAATAAGTCCCTTTCCAGGATTAAACCACGCAATGTGTATGGTAATACTCACATTCAAGAGGAAACCTCACAAAGGAAAAAAAAATTATAAGCTCAACACTTCACATCTCAAATTAGACAGTTTCAAACAATTTCTCACTGAT